GAGGAGCATCAGCCAAAAGAGGCAGGTGAGAACAAATAAGTTTAACTTAAGATATAAGCAACCAAGAGAGTATACACTGACTTATCCGTCGGAGTGCTAATTCTGGCACCCCTGACCGGAGTGTTCATTCCTTTTCAGGTGACTAGCTGAGGATCACGAGCATCCTACTAGATTCAAAGAGTATTTTCGAACCACTTCTCCACAGTAAATATTCACATTGTATTTTGATATGAGTTTTATTTTTTTGAAGATTAGTTGTATATTTATTGTTTATTGTGAACATTCATATTGTACTGTGGTATGTGTTTTTTTTTTTTTTTTTTTTCAAATGTTAGTTGTATATTAGTAGTCATACGAGCACAAAAATATTGTGTATATAGAGATGTGAATATTCACATTAATTCTGTAATACAAACTGGTAGTCGCACCTAATATTGATATTCACACATTGATGTAGCATTAAGTGTGTGAATGGCTCCATAAGGAGATATTATTTATCAGCATACATTTGCAATGTGAAAATTTACATCAACATTAAGTGAGAGATTTTCATAAGGTAGATGATTTAGGATTTTGAGGATGTGAGAGATTTTTTATGTGGAATAGGGGAGAGTTTTTTTCCCCTAGAATAATGGTGAGTTTTTCTCCATGAAATAAGGGAGAGAGAATGAGGAGATTCTTCATAAAATGATAAGATATTTTTTTCATAAAATGAAGAATTGATGTTATTTTTTTATTGTGTATTAATTTCAAAATGAAAACAAGTGCAAAAAATAAAAATAAAAAATAAAAAAAAATTAGAAGGATAATTTGGTCATATTATACCAAATAGGATCTAATAGAATACTTAAAAACACTATAGGTTAGATGGAACATAAGTCTTAAAAATGAGATTTAAAAATTCTTCATTTTTTTTCCTCTCACGAGTCTGACTTCTCTCTAGTCCAAGATCTAAACTACAGGGTGTTGTCTAGGCCTACGTGCCACTTCAGGTCCTGTTTTGATCCAAATCGTTTATTTTGTACGATTTTTCATGTATATTATTCACACAAAAAATTAAATCGATTTGATAATTGTAATTTATTGCATTTTTCTATAAAAAAAATGAACAATAAGTGTACTTTTGAAAATAGACCATTTGTTGTTCATTTTTTTTTTTGGGGGGGGGTTGAAAAAACAAACACCATCCTTTTGTTTAATGAGAAACACGATAAATTGAATAGGATAAGATTATCGAATTAATCTAATTTTTTATATGAATAATATATACAAAGGACCTTACAAAATGAATGGATAAGGTTATCGAAACTAAACTCGTGGTGGGCTCTACAGTCCTGAACAACACCCTCTCTTCCATATGAAAGAAAGCCAGACTTTTTCTCAATCTACACATAAATGCATGGGTACAATATACATTTAGGAAAAATACTACGGACCTCAAATGATTTACTAAATTTTCTATCAAATTTCTCACATAGATGTGAGATCCACACAAACCCAAATGCGTGTGGGTCCCGTACACATGTGAGAAGTTTGGTAGAAAATTTGATAAATCATTTGAGATTTCTAGCATAACCCTACATTTATTAATGTAGACCTTATTACTTTCTGGTTAAGAGTCAAACAAATAAATTAAGAAATAAAATTATATAGCATAATATTATTTTCTCTTAAAACAAACATGAAATTGCAGGCCATTTTGGCAAGCTGGTTAAAAGTCAATTATTTGAAAGTTTACGTCAACATTTTAGTGAGAGATTTTCAGAAGATGGATGATTTAGAATTTTGAGAATGTGAGAGATTTTTTCTATGGAATAAGAGAGATTTTTTCCTTAGGATAATGGAGAGTTTTTCTCCATGGAATAAGAGAGATTTTCTCTCTAGAATGAAGGGATTTTTCCTAGAATGATAAGATATTTTCTTAATAGAAAAATGAATTGTTGATATTTTTTATTGTGTATTAATTTCAAAATGGAAACAAGTGCAAAAAAGTTAGAAAGGTAATTTGGTCATATTATACCAAATAAGACATAATGGAATACCAAAAAATAATATGGATTAGATGGAACATAAGTCTTAAGAATGAGATTTACTAAAAATGTTCCATTTTTTTCCCCCTTACTGGTCTGGCTTCTCTCTAATCCAAGATCTAGACTACGAGGTGTTGTCTAGGCCCTACGTGTCCATCTCAGGTCCTGTTTCAATCCAAACTGTTTATTTTCTAAGATTTTTCGTATATATTATTCACACAAAAAATTAAGTCGATTTGATAATCGTAATTTATTGCATTGTTCTTAAAAAAAATGAACAATAAATATATTTTTGAAAATAGACCATTTGTTGTTCATTTCTTTGGAAAGAAACACGAAAAATTAAATACGCTAAGATTATCAAATCAATCTAATTTGTCGTATAAATAATATATACAAAGGGTCTTACAAAAAGAATGGGTAAGATTATCAAAACTAGACTTACTGTGGTGGACTCCACCGTCCCGAACAACACCCTCTCTACACATAGAGGCAATTTGGGAAGAAATTAAAAAAGCTAGGTTTTTAGGTTTTTTACACAAAAAAGTTAGCTTTTTTAACAAAAAAAGCCAAAAAGCCACAAAAAAAAGCTCCGTTTAGTGGAGCTTCCAAATTATAGTTCCACACTCACTTTTGAGTGTGGCGTTTCTTTAACGTTTTCAAAAATTAATTTCAGACTTACTTTTGAAAACTCTTTCCAAGGCGGGAAAATTTGGGCTAACTAGTCGTCCCACCAGTCGTCCAGCCCGTTGACCAGAAAAGTGTTCAATATTTTTATTTTTTATTTTTACACCTATTATTTTTATATTACAAAAAAAAAAAAATATTTGTGAAATTTTTTTAAATTTTTTTATGAGTTTTGAATAGAATTTTGGGTTGTGTGTTTGGTTATGAGTTGTAAGTTTTTGTATCAAATATCATATGTCACATCACTCAATTCAAACTTTTTTTAAAACTCTTTTCAAAACTCATAATCAAACAATTTTTTCACACTCAAATCACAATTCCAAAACTCACAAACTTAAAATACAACTCTATTCTCAAATAATAATTCTAAAATTCTACCAAACACTACCCAACTTTTTACCAACTTTTTAAAAAACCACATAATGTAAACCCTATTACTTTGGGCCTATTTGATAACCGTTCCGTTTTCAGTTTATATTTACAAAAATTTTAAAAACTGCCATAAAAACTTGTTTGATAATTTTTTTGATTTATAAATAGTTGTCTCAATTTATAAATTTGAGAAAGAAACGTAAACTCAAAAAATGAGTTTACGTTTTCAGTTTTCAATTATTTTTAATTATTTTTTTCCAAATAATTTATTTTAAATTATTTTTTTTTCAAATAATTTTTTTTTCAAATATTTTTTCCCAATTAATTTTTTTTTCAATTATTTTTTTAATTAATTTTTTTCAAATAATTTAATTCGTCTTGCTCCTTCACGCGGTCCTCCAGAATTTGAGGATCAATCCTCCGTCTTTGCCTGTCAGGACTCTGCGAGCGAGATTGATGGGGGCTGTGAGTCCGTCTCCCCCTTGTATCCCTCCTGGTGTTATGTCGTTGGGACTCCAAGTCTGCCATGGGAGGGATAGAAGGTAATCCCTCACGCCTTGCACCCCCATCTGGAGTTTGCCCGTCGATGGCGGATTGTGGCAATTCTTCAATGTGCGCCATTGTTTTTAAAGAGAAGTTTTAGTCAAGAGGTTTTGTTCTGTCTGTAATTCCTACAGACGGCGCCAATTGTACGGGAAAGAAATAAGCCTTCTCGTATAATCTTGTTGACCAAGTCTACTCTCCTCCGTACGTCGTCGCTTTATCACTTGAAAATACAAACGTGAGCTAGCCGGCGGGTGTGTGCCGGAAAGCTCTCCGATGCCTAAGTCAGTAAACTTGACAAATAGACAAAAGCTCTGTATATTCAGAAAACAAAGTTGTGTGTTACCTCTCCAAAGGTGATGTTTGTGAGCTTTTATAAGTTTCGCGTGGCACAATCCTAGTAGGACTTCTACTCCTCCATGCAGAGTCCTCCTAGGATTTAACTTCCTAAAGGATAATACTTATCCTTCAACACCCCTCTCACTGCTTAAACCAAGTGAGATGGTTTTTACCAAGGCCGAACTCCACGGGCTACCACGACTGAAGTAAAATGACCATGCTATGCTAGCAACCACATGGCCGTGACTTAACTAGCCTGGTCTTTTACTCCGCAGTTTGTACCTCGGTTTCCCTGCGGAGACCGAGCTAAATTAAGAGTGAGGCTTGCTAGGTCTACATCATGCCTTGGTTCCAAATAGTGCGGCCAAGCTAACCACGCCTATGGTAACCGAGATACCTACGCAAGATTATAACCAAGTTAACTTAGTGCAACGACCGAGCTTATCTCGGGACCGGCGTAACTTCAAGATTCTCCTAGACCGGTCTAACTCTATGGCCCTTTTACTTAGCCCATCGTATTGCGGTCCAAAACGGCCAATTTACCCAGCTCGGCCCAATTTTCCATACAAATTACCCTCACAGTTTATATTTACAAAAATTTTAAAAACTGCCATAAAAACTTTTTCATTTGGAGTCTCTAGCATAACTCTACATTTATTAATGTAAACCTTATTACTTTGTGGTCAAGAGTCAAAAAAATAAAATAAGAAATAAAATTATATAGCATAATATTATTTTTTCTTAAAACAAACATGAAACTACGGGCCGTCTTGGCAAGCTAGTTAAAAGTCTATTTTTTTATTTTTTAACTTATTTGGATCACATTACCTTTTTACTTTTTTACAAGTTTTTCCAAAAAAAGCTAAAACAAAAATTAAAAAGTCACCTTTTAACCAACTTTCCTAAACAACCCTATATATTCATACATGTGTGCGCATACACACGAACAAAACCAAACGTGATGACCAAGCTACCCATCATTTTATAAGAACAATTCTTTTCCTGTATTTTCAAAAGATACAAGAAAATTCTTATCCTCCTTCCTCTCTCTCTCTCTCTCTCTCTCTGGAAACTTAGCAAGACACAGCTCTATCACAGGAAAGAGAAAACAAAAGTGAAGAATTCAATTCCATCCCAATCATCAATAACAAAGAAGAAGAACAAGAAGAAAAGATTTGCTTAACCACAAACGTGCTTTTAATTTCCTTCTCCTTCTTCATCTTCTTCTTCTTCTTATTTTTTTTTTTTTTTAACACATCTTATGTTATCTTTCAAGTTTGGAGAGGTGGAGGAAATAGGAGAGAGAAACCATCTTTGGGGTGGGAGAAAGAGCAAAACAAGAGAGATGACATGGCATAACGACTCTGAAGACGAAAGTGCCATCCAAATAGTCTCGCCTTCTCCACAACAAAATCGTGTTATCGATGCAGAAGAAGCCGGTGAAGTTCGCTTCATAACATGTCCTTCATGTGGCCATAATATAGAATTGCAAGATCGGGTATTACTATTTGTGTATTTGTTATCTATATTTATTCACAAGTAATTAAATTTTATTTCAATTTTTTTCTAATAAATTAACGAGTTTTATGGTGATACGAACATAAATTTTGAATAAATAGGCGGGAATTGAAGATTTGCCGGGGCTTCCAGCCGGGGTGAAGTTTGATCCATCTGATCAAGAAATTCTTGAACATTTAGAAGCTAAAGTGTCATCAAATGCCCATAAAATTCATCCTCTAATTGATGAATTTATTCCTACAATTGACGGGGAAAATGGAATTTGCTACACACACCCAGAAAAGTTACCAGGTAATTAATCTTTTTTTTTTAAAAAAATTATTATATTTAACCACATGAATTATATGCTTCATTCCTTTGGGTAGATCTGTTAGGTTATATTCATATTCATATGCCAACATATTCACTAGAATAGGCATCTGAGATGGATAAGTATTTTCATATCATTGATATGAATTGGATAAAAAGAGAAATGGGAATGATTACCTAATTAAAAATTTATTCAAAAGTTAAAGCCTTGTTTGGTTTGTGTTTCTTAAAAATTTTCGGAAAAATTTTCTACAAGTAAGTTTTCAAAAGTAATCAAACTAAACAAATTTTTCCAAATTTTTTTTTCAAAACTTGTTTGGTTTACAAGTTTTCCAAACAAATCTCTCTTTCATACA